ATAGATAAAATTCTAAATCATATTTGAAAGTTTTAAACATTTATTAATTGAATTTTGTTTAGCATCCTTTTGAAAACCGCATAGTTTTTCCTTAGTTTTGTGATACTACAGAGCTCATATTTTAACATATTTAGATGTGATCTCAATCAAGCAATAAATAGTAAAATCATGATGGTTGTAAGCATACCAAATTGATCTTATAATGATTATAATGAATCAGTGGAAAGGAATAGATTTTCCTGAGATTCTATGTGAGATTCTATAAGTCCTGATTCGTTTTGACCTCACTAACAATGCTTCATCACAAAGTTTGAAGAAAGATGGCACTATGGAACATTTTCTATGCTTTAAATCTGCGCTCTCAAGACCTAGACATAAAGTTCTCAAGTACAACGCTCTAAGTTCTTTACTTCTTCTAAATGCTCTCTCTAATTCTTTAAGGGAGATGAAAGTTTTGTAAACTATCTGAATTTTTTCACCCAAATGTGTTTAAATTTTTCAAAAAAAGGCGAATATTTTGTAAAATTGATGAATTTTCATAATCTGACTGCCGTGTATCTTTTTATCAATTATTATCCATAAATATGAGTTTGGTAGGTCAGAGAGTCTTACGGTAGTTATATGATGTTGTGAACCTACTAAAAAATAAAATAAAACACATATCTAGCGTTGACACCGTATTGATTTAATCTTCAGTTTCAAATCTTCTATTAAGAAATTTCATAATAAAATATTGATGCATCCGTTTCTGTAAAATCTATAAGGTCACTATATATCATCCATATATGCATGATATTTTCATGAGATATATGAGTCACCAATTCACAATAACATACAAATCATGCGATTTAATAGCACTAGAATTCTTTTCGTGAAGAAATAAACGACTTCTTTGAGGATCTGGTTTAAGTGAACAATTCTCAAATTCCCAATACCTTACAAATTAACTTTTTTCAAGCTATGGTCAAGTCATTTACTAAAGACTTATCAAAAATTTCTTCAAGAGGATTTAGTATTGAATGATGTTTCCTAAAGAGCATTTGAATGATGTTATTTACCAGATTTTATCAAGATCTTAAACACAAATGAGTTGAAATTCTTTTACTTTCGTTATCAGAAAATGGATAATCCAGTATTATACTTGTAAAACATTTTTACTTACATAAATAAATTAAAATATATTGAATATTATTTAAACGCGTTTAACATAAAACATGAGAAACTTAAAATGTTTTTCAAAATTCATGGAAATGTCAAAAGAAATCACCCTGGAGTGTGTATTATATATTGTATATTTCAATACTATTTGGGTCAACTTCATAGAATTTGTACAAATGAAATGATTTGATCAATTATATAAATTTACATAAATCAATTGCTTTCGGCACTTCAAAACAAAGATTTAATTTTTTTTAAATTATTTTAACAACGAAAATACGGTGCGTGACTAAAATCTACTTCTCTGTAATGTCAGGAAATTAATGCGATATAATCTCACATTAAACACGATTGAAACGAGATTATATGAATAAATTTACATGCCTAATTAATAAGCAATTCAATATTATATATCACATAAGTTTGTATTTTATAATATTTTCAACTCCATTCTAGTACAAACAAAAAGTTAATGGTATTTGAAAAATTATTTAAATTTTTTAAAGTAGCACTTCAAAGTTTTTAGATTTATATCAAATATCAAAATATCAAATTTTACTGATAAATCATCAATTTTATTACTGAAATACATGTTAAAATTTAGTTTTCTGATTTGTAGAACACACTTTTAATTTTATATGTAATTTAATTAATATTTTGATTAATAAAAGATTTAAAGTAGAAAATGATATAACTTAGATATTGTGAAAACACGAAGTAATGGCCACTTAGTTGTCGTATATTTTATTTTAGGGAATTTCTATCTACACAATACTATAATTTATATACTATAATCTGGTACGAGCAATCAAAGCAATAATTTTAGTTTGAATTGCTCATTTTAAATTTTTATGATATTTGGGTAATTTTCAAGGCAATCATTTGGTATGGCATTATCTTCACCTCCGCCTTTCCTTGTATAAATACAAGAAGATATATAAGAGCATAGTATAGGAAGTATAGTGCAGTAATTAATTTCGGGAATAATGGTCTAACAATAAATCAATGTATAAGAATACCTTATATATCTATAGTAAATGGAAATTGGTTAACCTCCAACAAATAAAGTTTTGGTTGGATTGATGTAAAACAGCACCGTCGTTATGAAAGCGGCCATTTTTTTGATATTGTCTAAATTAACCAACAACACAGGCCATAAAATTGGACAAAATGACCTTCATGGATTTTTTTAGAGTTGTAAAAAGTGCTTTACATATTTTTAGGATCTAACACAAATAACAAATAATCAAAACTTATTAACTGTTAATAACAAATATAAATATATTTGCACAATTATAGTTTGTTGTACAAATACTAGTTTCATTTAATTAAAAAATTCAATATTATGAAAAAAAGAACATAGACATTTTATTAACATAATAATAAAATTGCCCATAATTACTTTTCTTTAATAAAAATTATTTAAATGTAATTTTAATTGCAGCAAAATGCAATAACCATAAATGTATTTAACCTATTTAAAAAGTATAATGTCATATAAATTCATTACATTATTATTAATAAAATGATATTAATACTAATATAAGTTCATTATATTAATAGTAGCATTATGCATTGTATGTTTTATGTTATAATTTTTTTGAAATTATTTGTCAATGGATTTATTTAATTAATTTTTATAAATATTTATTATGTGTTTTTTGAATGTAATTATTTTTATATAATTATTTTATTATTATATATATAAGTATATATATATTTTTTTTTTTAATTTTAATTTTAAATTTTTTATTAACTGCTTTAAATTAGTCTGAAAATTTAGTGAAGTAGTGTTTAAAGAGCTTTAACATTTTGGGTAGGTGTAAGATTATGTTAAAAATCTTTATTTATTTTTTATTGAATATTTCATTTGAAATATATTTATTTGCGTAAATAATAAGTAAATTTTATGAAATTTGAACTAAAATAAAGGTACTTTATGCCTGCTGAATACATTTTTACATCTATGCTCCTTACTCACCAAATTGTGCTTCATCAGATTATTACTTATTCCGATCAATAAAAAGCGTTCTTCAAAACTAGCTTTTCAAAAACCATGAAAAAAATTCAAAAAATGACATAATTTTTTTCCATAGATCCTATAAATTCTATGGAAAAGATGTTCAAAAATTATAGCTAATAAATATTTTAGTTAAAATAAAATTTACTACTTCTTAGAAATAAAAATATAATTCACTCTATATTATACAGAATGGATAATGTTTTATAATGTTTTCAATCTTCGAAAATCTTCAGTTTCATGAAACAAAGTCACAGCTAGTGGATTTATGTACTTGCTTTAACTTTAAGTGTTTTGCGATTGAAATCGTTGCAGTATTTCTACATTAAAAATTACACGAATATTTTAATTTTTTAAAATTATTTAACTTATAACTTAATTAACTATTTTATATTTTTAGAATGGTACGATAATATAAAATACTTAAGTCTTATTTTTGATAGAAGATACAATTGGCTAGATAATATAAGGGTCAAAAAGCTGGCTTGTAATATAGCTCTGAACGTTCTCAAACCATTAACACGGGCAAAGTTAAATGTAATAAATAAAACTCTGCTTTATAAGCAAGTAATCAGACCTTGTTATTGTTTATCTTTTAGTCAACTATAAAAGTCTACTATTTTTTTATGTAATATTTTATCACAATATCAAAAAAACACATTATTATTATCATACATTATTTTTTTATATTATATCTAAATTTTCTGAATACTTTATAGATGTTATTCTTGGAACTATTAAATCTTGATCGTATTTATTATTATTTTCAAATAATTAATTATTAATTTATTAAAGTTACAATATTATAAAAAATATTATAATTATATTTATTAACATTATTATTAAATTATGTTATTTTTTTAATATTTATTTTTAATATTTATTTATTGGCTTATGTATTACTTAGGATAAATTTATAAAAAATATATTTTGTTATTTGAATTCGAATTGTTAATTATTATTTTTTTTTTTAAATTTCTTATATTACAACCTCATTTTTATTATTTTTAATCTTATATTGTTATAATTATTATGATAAAATTCACGAAAAAATCATATATTTACTTAGACATTCAAATAAGTCTTAACTATTGCAATAATTTTATTTTTTAATAAATTTTAAACTTTTAATTTTAATTTAATTTAATTTTTTTTCAAATTCATTTAAATTCATTAAATTTTTGTTATTTTCATTAATTATTTAATATCATTATAATTTTAATAAGAAATTTTAAGAAATTAATTTTAACAAAATAATTTTATTTAGTCAATTTGTTATATATTTTTGCTATATTTATTTTTTCGAGAATTGTTATTGTGATTATTTTGCATAAAATAATTTTTTTTTCAAGTTTTTGTTAGTTTTATTTATTATTTAAAATTGTTATAGTTTTTATATATTTTATATATTTATATATATTTTATTTTTATTTTTTGTTGAAGTGTTCTTGTAAATATTTCGAATAAAATATTTATTGATTCTGGTTTTTGTTAATTTCATTTGTTATCTAATTTTGTTATAATTTTTTTTTTTCGAAAAATAAAAAAAAACATTTTATTTAGTTAATTTGTTATATATTTCTGTTGTAATTATTTTTTCGTGAAGGGCTCTTGTAATAATTTCGCATTAAATAAATGTAGTCAAATAAATTTTCAGTTGTTGCATTAAAATCGCATTAAAATATATTCATTTTGAAATATAATCAACATATTTTTTTTTTGATATATTAATATTTAAACTTGTATAAACTAATAGGAATTTCAGTATTTTTTAATTATCTAAAATTGTGTTTAAAATTATTTAACACCAATTCCCACTTACCTTCCTGTTGACTTGTTCACTTCGTTGACTCAGAAATTTATCCAAAAATAATTGTTGCACAAAACTGTTTTTAAGTGCGGCTTAGGTTTTTAATTTCCAAATTCAAATTCAATTTTTCACCTTACAAATCAGTAATAAATCACTTCGCACAATTTAAGGTTTTAGATAAAATTTTTATGGCTAAAACAGTGAAATTTTTATAATCTTTACGGGAATACTTTGGAATGCAATTAAACTCAATTGCCTACTAATTTTATTGCGCACACGATAAGTTAACACAAATCTCGTTTAAGTATTCACCTTTGAGCACAATAGATAACTCCAAAAAAGTTAGATTTATATTAGCCTAGATTTAGGACTCTACAATTCCACGTTTTCACAATTTAACAATTTCACGATGAAATTAACAGATTCTGTTATCAGCAAATAAATTCAATCTCGTACAATTGCCAAAAACGCCAATGCTGGGATACGCTGGACTAAAATAATTTGTAGCGGTTATGTTTGAAAACTTGGTTTGCCGTGTTGATTGCGGAACAAAAGGTTAAAAACTGATGCTATTCAGGCGAACGCAACAGGCTGACGATGTACGTACAACTCAGGATAAAAGTTTAACGTTACTGCTTTTTATATACGAAAGTTAAAAATTTTGCAATACACCGAATTGAGTCGTTTGTATCCAACGAATAGGTCCTTTGCTGCTTGTATTTGCAGAGCATGCGTTTGGCAGGAAAAATATATTCTGATGCGTGCCACGCATTGGAGCACTGGAGCATTGGAGCATTTTGTTGCTGTTATGAAAGGTGGTAAGATGTTGCCTGACTTAGCCACACAAACGAAATTTATGAATGAAAAAATGTTGCTGTGGGTCGTTTATGTACTGAGCGCAACATGTGTGTATACAAAGATTGCTGCTTGTATACATTGCTGCCTTTGTAACAATTTTCTTCTATGTGCAAGCAATTGGGAACTGCTTGTATACATTTTAGTTTGGCAACATGTTGCCGAACTGAATGAACTGTTTGTTGTCTTGTGAAGTGTGTTGGTGGTTGCTTCGGTGGTTGTCGTTTTGGGTTCACCTTCAAAAAAATAAATAAGTACTCGTACTTAGCTGTTTTAATTGCCGTTTAATCATATGTAAAAAATAATAATTAAAATATAATGCGTTTTTAATAAATGAATTTTAAAAAGATATTTGCATTTAATATTTATTATGTTTGTATGTGTTCTATTTTGTAAAGGTAAAAATATATTTTAAATCTTAAACGTTTGTGACAGAATCGATTAATGCAATTCAGGTGTAAAATTACTTACACAAATCAAGTTTTTTTTTGGATTGATTAAGTTTTTTATTCTTTCTCAATTCCCATTACTTTTTTAGCTTCTAATTCTTCGTGGATTGACCATGTAATAAGTGTACTTTTTACAATTTAACTACTATACGACAAAGAAAATTCAAAATTAGAGTGTACAGGGGCGGAACCGAAATCGAATGCAAGGGATTTTATATTATCAATAAAATATTGCATATTTAAATTAATCGTAATAAAATTATCTCCGGGTTATGCTACAATCCTAATTTTGTCGCACTTGCATTGCTACAGAAAGAATATTAAATATTCTTTTTATGCTTAAATATAATGTAAAATTTTAATAACAGGAGATAACACATTAAATATTATATTAATATTTATATATATATTCCGTGTTGAATTCACTAATATATAGGCTTGAATATCAAAGGTCATCTTAACGAGTTCAAAGATTGATGTAAGTGTTATTGGCAGGTATAATTACTCGTACATTTCATTTAAAAGAAAAGCAAACTTAAGAAAAGTTGTGTTTAGATGCTTATTGTAACAAAAAAAAAAGGTGGCAACAAAATGTCGGCAAAATAACTATCAGTTGATGATTATTACCAACACTGGTTGGTCTTAGTAATGATCAGTTAAAACACAAGGTAAGTATAAATTGATGAATAGCAATAGAAACCGTAATTCTGAATATTGGAATGATTGATAAATGGATCAAGAACAAATTTACCATTTGTTCCTATTTTAGATAAAAAAAACAAGAGAATAAAAAACAATAACTACATATTATATTATTATTATATCATTATATATTATTATATATTATTTTTATGTTATTATATATTATTATTAATCATAGTATAATATATATTGCTATATTATATATTGCTATATTAAATAATTATATTAATGACTATAAGTATAAAAAATCGACTATCAAATGTTGCACTGGAATAGTAAATCGGACACTAGTTAGAAATAGATCGTGTGTGTAGTTTTTGCTCGTGCATTTAATGTATAATACTTACAACTTTCAACCTCGATATCTCAAGAAGTAAGGTATATCGACATATAGCGTAGTTAAAAAATTTGACAAAGTCTGTTGTCAAATTGGGGTTCATGGAAAATCGTAAAACCGCCGACATTTATAATAATAAATCTTCAAAACGAGCTTTTCAATGCGTTTTGTACTCTCTATTAGCAGATAGCGAAATTGGCTCTTAGGTATAATACAGCGTGTATTTTACTTATAAGCTGTCAGTCAATTAAAACAATAAGCACAAGTGTCAATTAGTAAACTGAGAAAATACTTATAAGTTGATCAAAATACTTCGGCATCTAAAAACTAGCACCCGAAATATCCGCATATATGATAGTGACTAAAAGTAGAGATGAATATTATAGATATAATTTACTTAAACCCGAATTATGCTAAAAGCTAACCTACCGGTAGAGAATAATATTACAACATTCATAGTTTAAGACTATGAGGTTGAGGTTTAGCGTAGAGTACTGCTCATCTCATAATATGTCATAAAATCTTATGATATGTACGGTGCGCTTAAGTATACCAAATATATGTAAATTTATTATTCTTAAATATTATTATTATTATTAGTAGCAGAAGTAGAATTACTTTATGGGAAAGAAAAATTTCATATTTTCCACTTCTTTTGCTCAAAATCATATAAAAGAAAACATTGAGAATTAAATAAGACAATACATATAATAATATATTTAAGTAAAATGATATGTTCTTAAAAATAACATTATTATTATTAAAAGAATTATCTATTTTGCTATCCATAGAGAAACTCTTTTAAGCTAAACTGTATAAATTAAAGGTATTTATAATTTTAACATATCTCTTGGTTCAAGACCTCATTCGCTTTTGTCGAGACAAGGTTTTACGCAAAAATTTTTATTCAAAACCAACATTATGGCAGCCGTTTTCAGATAATTATAGGAAACTAGCAGATGAAAAGTATGGATGTTTAACTTAGTATTTTACAGAATCAGGAAAATGAGTTTTTAATGTCTAATCTAAGTTCGGATATATTAGAGATGTCAAAACTATTTGTATTTTTGTAGTTAATCCAAATGAGTCTTATGTACTCGGATTATGAGTTCAGACATATTTCCAGTCTAAATTTTACAAATATTAATAAAATATGTGTGTGTTAATAACACACAAAATAAATTTTAAAATATTCTTTGCAAATATCCTGTGGTCATTCATTATATTCCGTCTACTACGCCACAGCGATCCTAGCTTAATAGCTGTACTGGAAAACACTTTTTTATTGATTCTACAGGTTATTCTTATTCCTGCGTCAATTTACAAATACATTTCATTTTTCTTATCTTTTTTATTCCGTTTTCAACTGCTTTGCAATTTCCGAATTGACAGGTGTGACATAAAATTAAATACTTTTACAGTGGAACACAATAAAAGTTCGTACAAAAGTTTCTAGGAATATTATTAAATTATTCATACTAATTATTTTTATTGCATCTTTGGTACTATTTATTCTAAATTAAGGTGTCAATAATAATATGATTTGAACTCAATTTATTTTAATTTATTTTAACTTAATTAAATTAAATTAAATTTAATTTTATTTTAGTTAATTTTATTTAATTTTTTTAATTTCATTTAATTTTATATAATTTGATTTAATTTTTTTTAATATAATTTGATTTGATTTAACTTGATTTAATTTCATTTCATTTAATTTCATTTAATTCAATTTAAATAATTTAATTAATTTAGTAAATTATGTTGTGAAATTCTAGAAAAACTTTGAGTTTTATTGTGAAAGCGTATAGATTCATTCAAGCGAATTTCAAAAAACAGCTGATAAAAGCGCTAGCTTATTTTTTATTCACCGACTTTACACCGACATTAATAGCACATTTACTTTCCAATATAAGTTTCATTTATTTGCCTACTATTTTTCAATCAAAAAAAATTTTTTTTACGAGTGTACGCAGTTTAAATTCTATATGTTTTCCCGTAAAAATTTAATTAAATTCGAAGAAGGTCTTATAAAAACTTCTTGACAGCAGTAGTAAAGTAGTATTTTAATACCAATCGAATCATTTATTTTCGTTTTCTACTCGACGTAATATAAAATCCATTAAGCTTTAAAAATTTATATGATTCGTAATCTATTTTATCTCCACTGTATTTGAAGCAACTATTTATTTCCCACCTCCACAATTTGATTTTACAATCTAACACCAATTAAATTTGGACAATTAACACACATAGTAATGCAACGGAATTCAAGTGTCAAAATATTAAACTGGTAACTCGTAAATTAAGTGACAAAAATTAATGAAGTTATTACGTTCGAGGGTGGGGGTGACCTGAGCGCAAATTGTCTAATCGATGGTGTGCAATTATCTGTAGACGCCAGCAATATGTTGACTTCATAAAGTATTTACGTGTTGGCTATTGGTGAATATTTTGGTTCTTTTTATTATTTTCAATCTAATAAATAATGATAAATAGAATTTCAAATTAAATTTATTAAAAAATGTAATAAGCTTATCTTTAATTTAAATAATAGTAAAATTATTATTTTCTTTCAAACTCTTTATTATTAAACTTATCCGACAATTTGGAGTAATACCATATTTAGTTAATTAGATTGTAAGTTGCGGTGGAGGGAGGAACGAGCTAAAAAGCCGTTTTGAATCAACAAAACCCCGTAATAGTGGGTAGTATAGAGAAGAAGTTAGAACTAGCCAAAGGCATTTATAAAGGCAAGAATCTGGCCAATGCTAATGCTAGAGATTTCGTCGAGTGTGTTGAAGAAGGGGGCTCCCAGTAACTTAAGCCTTGTTCTGGCCAAACCTGAACATAGACACATTAGATGCTCTGGTGTCCTTCGAGAGCTGGTAGACACGCATTGCAGGAGATACCACAGGTTAGGCTAAGTCTATCCTCATGCCGTCCTATGGCTCAGTGCTCTGAAGAAATAAAAAGACATTATTCTAGATACCTCTGATTTACTTCTGTGTATTCTGTCAGAAGTTCTACATTTGGAATAGCATACTTAAAATATGAGAAATATCTATTTAAAATAATAACCATTGTCTTCAAAGTAGAAAAAACATTTCTTCTTGTTTTCAATAATGTACTCTGGCTCAGAATTTCCTGAAGCAATATAAATAAATTTAAGAATTAGTAATCTGCAGAGTATGTCAAGATAATACTAATAACACTATTATCTCCACACACCCAACCTCTGCTCA